AAACAAAAAGCACATAAAACGTATCGGCGGGAACAATAATATTTGAAGTTTATTCCACGACTACAGAGCATATTAAATCATTTTTCGTAAAGCAAACAAATTCGCATCCGAAGATCGGAACAATCGAAAAATAAAACTACGAACTTTGCATAGTTCCGCGAAACGGCTGCTGGCTCCTGACCGGCATAGTTCAGGCCTAGGCAGGTCCGGAATGCGCCAGTAGGACAAGCACTGTTTCCTCATCTCCTCTTGTCTAGAATCATGCAGGGTCAAATTTCGAGCAAACGCTTTGTATTTTTCAAGGTAATAGGTCTGACGTTCGGCGAATCTGAAACGTCAAGGCATACATAAAACGCAGTCATAAATACGTCCTCATTAACTGAAAAATAAGTAACTTAAAAAACAGTAAGTTACACGACAATTTTAGAAGTTAGAAAGTCGAATGAAAGTGAGGTGGACATTCAACGATTATCTCTAGTGGCATTAATCATCCAATCCAACAACAAGGCCAATCGCCACAAAGAATACAACTGAATGAGCCTCATCATGCCTGCCACAAAAAACCTAAATGGCTATTACGGACGTTACTCGATTTTAAGTGACCCATGTACTACAGGCAGAAAAGACAACCTCCACAAAAAAGCGGAAACTATCACCATTACTTGCAAAAGTCCAGCGAGATAGGTGCTGAACAATGATTACAATAAACCCATTTTCTGACTATTTTCCTGGTTTCTGAACTATGCATCACTGTCTAACACCCCCATCACAAAGAATAATAAACAGGACTACGATTATCTACGCGGCCAATGGCAAAAAAATAAAAAAGTTAAAAATTGTACCTCTCGTTTATTTCGGTGACGTATTTGATGAAGTCAGTCTCAGCATGTAACAAGTCCAAAGGAACCAACTCGATAACATCTTGCTTCGGCTCCAACTTTGAAATTTCATCGAACCGCTCGTTAACATTGAATAAGTATCGCCATATGACGTCACTGTCGCGGTATCCAAGGCAAATTATGTACCTGCAATCAAAACAGGAAATTTTTGAAACGCTAAAGTTTGAAAACAGTCAAACAAAAAACAATCGACCAATTTCCGTATAGCGTACGGTACATCCTGAAAAATTACATATCATTACGGAAAATTTACATCAAAATGAATCCCCACTCACAAAGGCACAAGCGTAGAAAGCTTTCGTATGTTCAAATCAAACCAACCTTTTCCCGGGTGCGGTGGAAAACGAGCAACGATCCGATCAAAGCAATAAATCACATAACTTCAACCGTGAATATCTGCCAAAATGACTGGTTAATTAGAAACAGCATCGTGAGTTCATAGAACTCTTCACAAATTTCAGCAAATCTTTTGAAAAAGAAGATCCAAACGAGTAAAGAATTAGGGACCGTCTATCAAGAGTCGAAGTGGAAGAAAAAGGAACTACCTACTAGGTGAACAGAAGACCCGTATCCGCTGGGTGGATAATATCCAAAAATTGATTAAAAAATATTAACTGGAAGGCAAGACGGAAAATGAAACAAGCAACTGAATATCATGTCGCAATAACCTGATTTAAAGAAAAACATGTCATCTTTACTGCCATGCTAAAATAGTGCATACTTTACAGTATTTAATAATGTAAATCTTAAATAATCAATTATCGAACTTTCCGCTATCCTTAAATCATATGATTCAAATAATCACAGAAGGCAAAATGCTGCTGTATCACTTGAAGCATCGTGAAGTTTTACGGTAGTTGCAGGCAACGATTTATCACCATTATCTCTCAAAAATGACCTGGAAGAGATTCATCGTCGCATATCAATCCAGAAATTGATAGAAGTTCACACATTTGAAAGATCCATGAGTGAAATTGACGGCAATATGCTAAAACCGCAACGATTGGGACTATACACAGTTCAGGGTACAACGTGATATTACAGCTATCATTGCCGACGCGTTTCGCTACCGATGTGACTGCGTAACGCGTATGTCACAAAAGCTCTAGCATCAGCCTTGCTTCATACGATAAACCACGCATAACCACATTCGTTCCGGTTTCAACAATGGAACTAAAAAGGAAATCGTGAAAATCTACATTATCGACGAATTCACTAATGGGCTACTTCGGTTTCAAGTTTCCCTATAAAGAGGAAGCAAAGTTTTGAAATAAACAAATTTTACTTGAATTTAATAACCAATTTCCGATAAGTGATAAGCCACAGTCTTTCAAGCAACCACTGAGCATGAGCAAGTTGACGACTTGTGCTTGTACTAATAATGTTTAAAAATGCAATTACCATAAAATCAAACTCTAAAGAATAATGCTTCCATATCACTTAAACATATATTAATTCTTCTGAGGTTCGTGTTATCGACCGATAGAGAGGATTCTTTCAAAGGCGAACTTCTGAGTTCTAACGATTTTCAGCGAATGATAAAACGAAATGAGCGTCGCCTGAAAGCTTCACCAGACGAAGGTAAATTTAAAGCAAGTTCCTTGATGTTCTGAAATTTTTGTCGCAAGGAAAATGTTTGGCATCGATGCGGATGTTATCGCCGAGATTCACGAGTGAACTGACAAGTTGCTTTCAAAGGGCCTGTACATCAGAAGCACACATTGACTAGTAACTTTTTCTGGCGCCTTATACGGCCATATGGCCAGAATACTAATTTTTGAAGTCGTCGAAACAGGCGGGGACAGTGTAGAGAAACAACGACATCATGCAGACCTTTTTAAAGAACTCTAACATCTCTTACCCTACTCTGAGAAGTTTCATTCTTCTGAGAATAAAAAAATCCTTGTGAATTTACCGACTAGAGAAGAAATCTGGTTCCTTCAGAAAATCTGTCTATTTTGATGCCTAGAAACCAGGTGTGAAAGGCATCACATTTCCGTAGGTGACCTGCTGACAATTCAACAGTTCCTAACAAATTATGGGTCTTTTTTGTTTAACAAAACGTGATATCGGCTGACTTTTCAACATCTGCTATTACTATCGTGTTGGTAAACCAATATAGGTCATCTTCTACTAATGACAGAAACATGATTTTATCGACAAAGTCTTCTATGGCACAAACAGTGAGTGTCATCTACGTACTGATGCACCAAGTGGTGTTTCCAACGAGGCAATTACTGATGCAGACGCAAACAAGATTAGCGATGAACCTTAAATGGTCATGGTTTAGGTACACGAACGGTCGAGAGTGACAGGTGCTGCAAATCGGTGCGAATTTTTTTCACTAAAATGGACTATAGAAAACGAACGAAAACCCATCGTTCCACAGGAAAGAAACATCAGTCAACAACAATGCAAAATTATTCTGAACACTTGAGTAACATCTGCTGTTGTTCCTATGTTTAAAACGAACATCAAACATTCTTACAGCATCGCTGTTATTAAAAAATATTCAATTACGTAAATTTTGGAATTTCCGTATTTCATCAGATTTTAGATGGTCCAAGAAACTGAATTCTGGATTTTGCTAGAGGCAATACAGTTTAAAACGGAAGCTATACTTTGAGAGACATAGCTTAAACTTTGAGTTAAACCTTAAATCGCATAAAATACGGTTTGTTTATAAACAATGCAAAAATATAATCAATTGGATGATTGCGCAGAAAGACTTCCAACAACTGCGAAAGAATAAATAACCTCTCATTCAACTTACCATTCTACAGGCGAGACCGGGATTAAAACGTGGAAACTGATTAATCATCTGATTAATGAATTGTTTGCGTCGTGTACAAATAAAACATTATATGCTGTGTTAATTTCCTAAACCTATCAACTGATAGCCTTCACTGTCTGCAACATTTATAAGTGAAGGTCACCCGGAGAGCAAAAAACTCACATATGGTAAAACCTGATTAACTCAAAACTCTTTAATAAACCGGAAATTCAGTGATTCTAGACGAAACGAAATAGATGAATGGTAGACTTTATTATAACTTCTGACATTGCAGCAAAACATCGGCCAACCTGAGGTCAGACAATGATATTAAATATAATTTCAAGGAAACATCAGCAGTTATGAAAAAGACAACTATCCTTCTGTCTAATTCTATCCGGAACAACTGAAACAGTTTATTAAAAAAAGAAAACGCAGAATTCAAAGACGTTTCGGAAGTTATTCGAGACTCCAAACTTTGTACAAATGTTTCTGAATAATTAAAAAATCTTAAAAATTCGAAAAGATTTGCCTTGTTCATAATATCAATACATTTGGCTTTGAATATGCTACAAAATAAATTTTCTTCTTAAAGAATAACTCCTACAACATTGGGTCTCGTTTACACGCCTAACTGACACATTTGCGTCTACTAATAAAACATGGTTGAGAGAAGCAGTTACACCTTCAGACAATGAATGACAGTAGCATCTGGAGA